ACAGTTTTCAAATTTTAAATAAAACTGAAACATTTTGAACTCCAAAAATTCCAATCTTTTTACAGCATGAAACTACAAATAAAAAATGCACCTCAGCCAAAAATCAAAATTTTCCAGCGAACCAATTTATCATAATTAAAACTTCTTTCAGCAGAAACCGTAAACAAATTATTTACTCTATCAATATCAGTCCAAAAATTATAAACATTTTACACAATGTATAAATCAGACAGGGAGACAACATACTAAAATTTCATCAATTTTGGAGCACGGACCGATTTATTATGAATTTAACATGTTTCTGCCCAGAAATCAGTTTAATTATTAAAAATAGCTACAGACCTTATAAAATTCTAAAATTTTTACACGAGCTATAAAATTAACACAGGACATCACATATAAAAGTTCATGGCAATCCGAGCACTACATAATGTTTAAAAATTCAAACACTAAAACAACGATCAAACGAGTTCGGTAAGTTCACGTTTAACGCAAAACGCATAATTCTCGTCCGAGACCTTCTCTTAAGGTCGAGGACTTGACATGGTTCCACAATCCACAGCCTTACACGCGTTTCACGGCCTCACTCATTTTCTCAAAATCGAGGAGGTCCAAAAAAACATGAACAACACAAATAAATCCGATTATTCACATAACGACATAACGTGTACATTTAGTCGCAAGGTAAGCACAAAAAGCAATTTAAACACATAATGCAAACAATATACGCAATTTAACGAGACGGGGTTCGACTAGGTACCGTTCTCGGGAATACGAATGATAAATGAGTAACGGGACGATCGAACGGGCCGAACGGAGTGCTCGACGGGGCCTGCTTGACGTAAATAGGGACTCGACTACTCACTGCTCTCACTCACGACCTTGCATTTTGGATGTAAAAGGGTTGCTGTTGCTCGGTGAAGAACTCGAACGACTGCCGAACGAAGGTCCGACGAGTTGCTACTCAGTTCGCGTGGCCACTTCAACCTGATGTTGCGATAACGGACAGCTGACGGGGTGCCGCTGCTCTTCCCGCACGGGCCCGAAAGGCTGTCGCTGAAAGAAGCCAGCGGGGTTGAAGAGGACGGGACCCGCTGCTCATTAGTGCTCGGTACTCGAAAAACGCCTCAGCCCTCCACTATTCTCGACCGGTCGTCACCTGAACTCGTTGGTCTCGCCATCGGAAAGAAGAACTCAGCCGCTATGATGGTCAGGTCGAACATGGTCGCCCGGTAATGGTGATTATTGGAGATTTCTAGTCTGGCTCGAACGGACGGCTTCTGCGGATGGCCACGGGAGGAGACTCCTCGCGACCCCAGGCTGCTGCTAGATTGTGGGTGATGGCGAATCGCCACTGAAGGCGGCGTGGCTAGGAAGCGAACGGCGGGATGTGATTCATGGCGACGCTGATGAAGTCGCGGAGGTGGGTTGGGCGATGGGATCCGAAAATTTGGGAGGGTGAGAGAGATTGATATGCGCGATCGGTCCTTTCTTGTCTGATCCTGCTTTTGCGCGACATAAAGTGAGAGAGATGGGGAGAGATCGAGGACAAAAAGCGAAAGAATGAAAAAGCTGCGAGGGTTTTTTTTTTGATGATAATACTCAGAATAGAGAAGTAGAGAGATAGGTCTTAACGCCTATGGGTCGACCATTAAGGCTTGAAATCTCACAAAGTTGGGCCGAGAGTTTTACAAATTTGGGCCAAAAAATAATTAAAAGGGTGGGCCAACACTGCGGTTCGAGGAAATAGCCGATTAAAACTAAAAGCTCGGTTCAATCGCACGACGTTCAGAATAAATTAAATAAAATAAACCGACTACACACAATAATTTATTAAATAATATTAATAAGCATTTAAACAATTAGACATTTAATAATAATAATAATAATAATAATAATAATAATAATAATAATAATAATAATAATAATAGCAATTAGGCATTTAAGCAATTAATAATATTTAGAAAATCAATAATAATAAAAATTAATAAGCAATAATACATATAATAAATAATTCCAAATAATTCTCCAATAAACGGGGCGTTACACTGTCAATATCCATAAACACCAAAATACTGTAATAACTGTCAACATCACAAACAACACTAACCAACATAAAAAAAAAAGCAATCGTCCATGAAATCAAAAGTTACTGACCAACACACCATGAAATCACCAATCACCACCATATTCCCTGCTTTGTTGAGTGAAGGTTTGAGGGCTAGAGCACTGAATAAAATCTTCAAAAGATGGCATTGAAGGCTCATATGGCTGAGATGGTTGTGGTTGTGGTTGAGATGGCTCTTGTTGTGGTTGAGATGGCTGCG